GTCTTCTTCAGTTAAACCACTTTAAAACAAAAAAAAAAAAAACGTAAAATAGAATGCAAGCAATACAAGTGTTTGGTTATTTCAAGTATTTATATTCCAGTAAGTTATTTTGTTTTGATAATCAAGTGTTTTAAAAAAAGATTGAATTATCAATCTCATCCCATTTAATATGTTTATTTATGAATTATCAATGTTTTTATATTTTAAGGGAAATGATAACTTCATTTAATAATTAAAGAAACTTGAATAACTAAAAAATTAATACTTTAAAAGTGAAAATAATATTGGACTTCACGCCATATATTGGATAAGTAAAGTTGAGAAAATTATCATCTAGGCATTAAGAACCTACAGCTATTGCTACAAACAACTAGCACTTTCAACGAAACTATTTTCGTCTTCTTCAGGTTGAAAGNTGATCAGTGAACCAGTTAGGAGACTGCTAAAGCTGTGGTCTCTTGCACCTAATGGCATCTCTTAGGTGATATAAAATAATCAGGCACTCTTTTGTCACATGAGGAGCATACTCATGAAGAATAATGCTCAAAAGTGAAAATAATATTGGACTTCACGCCATATATTGGATAAGTAAAGTTGAGAAAATTATCATCTAGGCATTAACAACCTACAACTATTGCTACAAACAACTAGCGCTTTCAACGAAACTATTTTTGTCTTCTTCAGGTTGAAAGAACAGTTCCAATGCTGGTTTGCCGTTGCTACAATTTGAATTTGAAGGTTATTAACTGTTCTTTCAACCTGAAGAAGACGAAAATAGTTTCGTTGAAAGCGCTAGTTATTTGTAGCGATAGTTGTAGGTTGTTAACACCTAGATGATAATTTTCTCAACTTTACTTAATTAATACTTTATTATTTGTGATTTAATTTAGAATAATTTATTTTTTAAAATTTAATAATCATTAATTATTTTGAAATTACTGTAATAATTATACCATGTAGTTTGAATTTAACTGATTTATTACTGAACTAATACCAAATCAACATTTAAGTTGATTTGATATTAATTTTAATAATCCTGTAATTAATGAATGTCAATTTTGAACTTAATATTCAAATTTTAATAACTGATAATTAATATTAATTCTGAATAATTATTAATGATATATGTTTATTCAATTTTCATATTATGAGTACAAACCCAAATCTGTTTTTATACAGTAGCTACTTTCCATAAAATTCATGTAAAAAATGTCTCTATGGAAAAATGAAAGATTGGTTTCAGATTTTTAAAACTAGTAAAAACAATACAATAAATCAATTACCATAATATAATAGGATGTGTTTAAACAAAATATTTCAATTTTAGTTAATAAATTAGAGGGACAATTTTAACTTTTCAGCAAAACTTAATAAAACAGTAGAAAAAATTATAAATGTCTTCATTAAATCCTTTCATACATCTCAGGAACACAACTGTTTTTTCCAGTGAAGTTAACCTGTCCATCAGCCATTCTTATAAAAAGCTCAAACTAAAATAACCCAAAAATCTTCATAAAATCAACAATGAAAAATGTTTGTTGGGTTTTTCCTGTTTAAGAGCAAAGGAAAATTGATTTTCTTGCAAAAGGGCAATGGTTTTCTTTGCATAATGACAACCTGCTTTATCTGGCCAAAATATATAGTTTTCTTCTCCCTATAGTTCTGTACTATGAATGGCAATAATCATTTCTTCAATCATTGTTCAATATATGTCTCAGCTTCTAGTACATTATTTTTCTCACAAACATATGGCTCTGACAAACTTTAATGGAACCATACATAAAACTGAAAATGTTTTAGTTTGGGTATATTTCACAACTGCAGGAATGTCACCAATATTTGAGAAATAATAATGTTTCTGGATGTATTTTTTAGCATAAAGTAAGCTTCAACATCAAAAATGCCTTGAAATGAACAGCTCAATGACTAGTGCTAAACTTGAATTTGGTTTTCTTGATCTTTGCAGTATTTTGGAGCTTTTTGTTTTTTTAAGTGTGGTAATCTGTTTTTGTGTTCAAAGTGCAAAGAACAGTTGAAGGTGTACAACTGAACTTGAAAACTACATTTCTCAGTGAAATGCAGTCATTCTGATCCATTCACTGCTTTGTTAAGAGCTTTCAATTTTCTTTTAGTGAAAACAGCATTGTGACCAGCACTTCCTGGTTGTCTTTCAACATGTCCTGTTCTTCATTTTGTAACATTCAGGTCTTTACTGGACACCTGATAATATTACCATAATTAAGCAATAATTTAATCTTCCATAAAATACAAAATTGACTTTCTTGCTTGTATTTTGCAAATTAGTACAACACTTTTCCATGTGACAATTTTGCTCAAACATCCATTTTACATCAACCATTGCATTATTTATTAAACTTTTATGATTTAAAAGCTAAAAATTAATATTAAGCCAATAATAATAGTAAAATAAGTTTAAGAATAAAAATATTAAGCAAATGTATAAATCAATAATATTGTTTAAATTAATAAAATAATTAATATTTTAGAATATTAATTATTTTATTAATTTTGCAAAAAACAAAAAAAATTAAATAACTTTTAAACAACTATCCAATCATTTTTAGAAAAGAAAAAATTAATTATTAATTAAAACCAAAATTGAAGACAAAATCCATCAAAAACAAATTGAAGTCAAGAATTACCATCCAGTGAATTTTATAATTTAAAATGAATTATTTTATATAATCTTACTACTATACTATCTTTAGTCAAATATTTCATAAGTGTATTAAATATTTTTCATACAGATTTCTTATTATTTCAGATATCTCTTAGGAAAGCTTTTTTCAAACTTTAAAATTTAAAGATCTTCCATTATTTTATTTGGCTCACTATACTAGACAACACAGATACAAAAAAAGTTTACAACTTAAAACAAAATTTTAAACTTGCACAAATTATTCACTGTACTGTATGCATCAAAACTCAAATCCATGGGTCTAATCTTTTATTTTCTTTTTAATATTCATTAATTTTTCATGTTTGCACAATTTCTCCATTCTTCTAAATTTTTCTGCTATGCATATTGGATATTTTTCTTTATCTCTCTGTAATAGTTTAGCATTTTGCATTTAATTTCAACATTTTACTTAGGACACATTGATATTAAATGAATAAACATAAAGGAATATATAAAGACAACATGCATTTACTATCATTATATATTCTTTCATAAAATCATGTTTATGATTGCCAACTCTTCATAAACTTCTTGTCACAATTCTTTTATATTTAATTATTACATTTTCTTTTTATCATAAACCAATATTGCATAAACTATTGACTTTTGATGATATTTTGTTGATTCTTTTCATTCCTCACTATGTCAAATAAATTTCATATTTTTTAAAATTATCTTTATTTGTTATAGTAGTTTCTTATTACTTTTGTTGGTTTGTACATATCCAATACATCAACTTTTTTCTCTTCCTTAGCCATTATCTCTTTTCATACATTTAATTTCTTTTAGTAAATTACATTCAAACTGTTTTGCTATATTCTTTATATATTTTACTTCTTTCATCAAGTTTTCATTAAGTTTGCAGTATCCTTTTTTGCTTGTTTAAATAAAAATCTAATAAATGCCATCTTATTCTTATTGTTTTTATTATTGTATTTAAGGTTTTGATTCTATAGATAAGAAAATAATTTGAAAATATTAAATAAATAACAATTGATTTCTTATGAAAATCTGTTGTTTCTATGTGTGTTAAACAGCCTATATGATAAAGTTTTTCAGTAAAGAAAAAATTCTCTTCTTTTTTAGAAACTTTGAATATTTATTTAAAAATAAGTTAAACAACAATTACTGTTTTTAAATTAAATACTTTCATCTACAACTACTATATCATAGATATTATTGAAATTATTGAAATAAATAATCAGAAAAATTTTTTAAATGTAATAATCTGGATAACATTTTTGTCATTTTGAATCAACATGCATAAATAAATTTCTTATTGGATTATAAATAATTTTTTGAATATTTCAATTATAGATCCAATAAAATGTAAAACTAAGGGCTAGTACACATTAGGCATTGGGCGTTGCATTAAACATGCATTAGTAGCGTACACACTGCGCGTTTAGCTCGGCATTTGACAACCATTTGCACTGGCTCAGTTTGGAAATGGACGTGAAAGTAATTGCTTGTGTGTGGCTCCTCTATCATCGCTATAAAAGATGATGGCAGAAGCAAAGAGAATTTTGGATGCACCCAATATTACGAGATAGACTGAGCATGGAATGTTTGGACATTTTATCCAAAACTAAGACAATATGAACCCAAGTTTTCTAATTATTTTAAAATGTCTATAAAATCATTTGACGATGGCTGGGCTCTTTTGGATTTCATCAATAAATAGATCAGTATCGAAATGATCGTTCTCCATTTTGGCCAACATGTGTCCACTCTACCTGAAAGCACGCGATCGAATGTACAACAAAATAGCAGCACATGTATCTCAAAGCGCGTGGCTTACGCCCGCAAAACATGCGTTCTACCCAAAATCTATCAACGCGCGTTTGAGTGTGTATACCTATGCAGAACTCTTGGTTCTTTAAAATGCACATTACCAAAGTGCATGTTTCAAAACGCCTAATGTGTACACAGCCTTAATATCACGATTATTTATGCTAAGAAAAAGAAAGACTTAATTTAAATGTTAAAAACCTATTTGAAATTTTCATCCTTAAATGTACTGTATATTTTGTATATTATACTGTAGTTAATAAATCATTAAATTATATATATATATATATATATATATAGATTACATATATTTTTCATGTTGAATTCACATAATAATTTGTAACTGAAAAAAATATATCATTAATAAATTATGTCTAAAATGCTGGATTAGTCATAATTTTGCACATATATTCTATAAAGAAAACCCAGAAGGATTCTAACTAATTACAGTTTTAGCCTAATAAATATTAAAATAATCATAATGATAAAAATAAGAAATAATACTTACATTGTCATCAGGAGGTTCCTCAAATGATGCAGCTTGAATGGAATAGGCAACAAAACACAGGATTGCACCTATCCATAAAAGAAGGGCAAAACCTCCAAATAAATTTTTACAAAACTTCACCCACTCTGGTGTTCCTTTTGGGGGTGTTAAAGCATTAGGTCCATCACGATCATATATGACTTTAGCTTGGCTTGAAGTCAAACCCTAACAAAAGCAGTTTTTTTTTAAATGAAAGATTCAAGTTTTTACAATAAATATGAATAATTTAAACATTATATATATGAAGTAATAATTATGAAAAACATAATGTATTATAATCATATATGTAAATTATATACTTATAACATAGCTCAATAGAATGCAGTATCACTTACGAGGGCTGTTCGGAAAGTCCACGGCCTCAAATAGAACAACAAACAAAATAATGTTAAAACTTTTTTATTTTTTAATGTAGACTCCTTTGTTAGCAATGCACTTATTCCAGCGATGTTCTAGCTTTTTTATGCCATCACAATAGGTCGATTTGTCAAGGTGTGCAAAATACTCGTTCACTTCAGAGATGACTTCGTCATTTGAGTGGAATCTCTTTCCAGCCAAGAATTTTTTTAGGTTTGGAAAAAGGTGGAAGTCACTGGGGGCCAAATCAGGTGAGTACGGTGGATGTGTAACTAATTGGAAGCGAAGTTCGTTTATCTTTTGTTCAGTGATTCTAGCGGAATCTGCATGTGCATTNATAGAATTTTTAGGAAAACTGCGTTTTGACTTTGAGATTCAAGATTTTTATAGTACTTCTTCCTTGAATCTCATCTTACAATTAGTCCTGCATCCCATTCCTCGCTTCCCGATTGTTTTCTTCTTTGTCTCCAGGTGAAAATTGAAACCGGATCAGGTCACGAGAAAGGTTTGTTCCGAGGCATTTATTTGACACCTGTTTGTCGAATCTGATCAGAGATTGTTGATAAACCTATAAGCCTTTCGCTCATAATTTAGCCTATTGTTTCTGCTATCTGTCATTTTAGAACTTTAACGGTCATATGTGATGTTTTTATACCTGTCAAATTTTTCCCCTTTTCCGAAAATTTAACCTAGATCGACTGTTTATGAGCACGTTTTCCTATATTTTCATTAAAGAAAACCCATTTTACAAATAAAATTACAAAAATACTGGCGGCTAGAATGGATTAATTGTATTTGCATTAATTTCTATAAGAAAAATTGCTTCGGTTAATGAACGGACTTGTGGAATGGATTACGTTTGTTAACTGGGGTTTCACTGTACTTACTTTCTTTGCCATAATTTCAATGATTTTTACATATATATAGAACAAAAATTATTTGTGCTGCTATTGCACTATAATTAACTTGGTGTAGATTACACCAAGGTATAACATGTTTTTATAAATACTACACCAAATTTGTATATATAATCTATGCCAAGTAAATGACTACAATATATGGAACAATTTTAAAATGAAGTATACAACAAGATATACAGCTATTATAACAATTAATGTATTTTTATCCATTCACTTGTTGAGCAATCAGTTGTTCATATGTCTGTCTACTGAATTATGATATCTGATAGAAAATGGATTCACTTATAATGCAAGCTGACGTGGCATGAGATCAACTTATATTAGATTCCAAATGTATATTGTAAATAGAAATATATACAGGGTGGGGCATAATGGAGTACCACATTTACGAGGTGAATTTTAAAAAAATGGTACAAGAATATGGAAAAACTTTTTATTTATTCAAAATACATGTAATAAGGTTTTTTTGTTTAGGTTTTAAAAATGATGTCGTCCAAATGTTGGCCTTTATGGGTGTTGCACATTTGAAGCCATTCCTTGAAGTTTTCTTCAACTCTCACCAACATATCTGGAGGAGTGTTGGTGATTTCCTCATGAATGGCTGCCTTGTGTTCTTGTAGGGTTTGAGGGTAATGTTTAAAACCTCTGCCTTGAGATACCCCCATAAGAAAAAGTCACAGGGGCTTAAATCATGGGAGTGAGGGGGCCATTCGATGGCTTTTCATAAAGAAATTACTTGACCGGATAACATCTCTGTCAAAATGGTGCGAGAACGAGTCATATGGGCTGTGGCTCCATCCTGTTGAAACCAAAAACCACTTGTATCGTATTCTTCCATTTTGGGACGCAAAATATTCTCCAGCATGTCACAATATTGGTTGGAAGTCACAGTAACAGTGACGTCATCCTCTTCAAAAAAAAAAAAAAAAAAGGCCCTACAATGCCTACATAGGACAAAGCACACCAAACAGTGACTTTCAGGCTGTGAAGAGGTTGTTGGTACAGTTCTCTGGAGTTTCCAAGCAGCCCACGAACCATGAATGAAAGCCTCCATGACAAAGCCCAACCATGGCATGTTGACTACTGAAAACTTTATTGCTCACGCCATCTAGCGGACTGACCACCTCCCATTGGACAACATCATTTTTAAAACCTAACCAAAAAAACCTTATTACATGTACTTTGAATAAATAAAAAGTTTTTTCCATATTCTTTTATCATTTTTTTAAAATTCACCTCAAAATGTGGGACTCCATTTTCTCCTTTAATCTTTCTTCTTTAAAGATTAAAAAATTTGTATTTGAGAACAAATAACTAATATTTTTCCTAAATAATATCATAAGTTATTTGAACTTGCTTATTTGGTTCATCCAAATTATTTAAAAATATATCAGAAATTTATTCTGAATAAGCTAAAAAAATTTGTGTTTTCATGATAAGTTATGAAAATCATACATTATGAAAAGTTTAATAATGTAAATATAAATTAAATTGAAATCTTATTAAAANTTTAATATGAGGTTCCGGACAGGTCCAAACCATCACAAATTTTGCAAATTTTTATCTGTTTTAAATTAAAAGGTGAGAAAAAGGGAAAGAAAATGTTAGACATGGAATTTTGTTTATGTTCAAATGTGACGCAAAGTCATAAATTGTAAAAAAGAATGTAGTTCTAAAATCAACCATCTCCAGTTGGGAGATTGAATTCAACTTTGAGTTGACCTTTCTCGCAATCCAAGTCGGAATCCTATTATGCTTAGTAACAAGGAAATGGCCACTTGGAAAGCATGGAATGAGGGAGATCAACAATTGGAATGACTGATCAAAAATGAAGATTGTTATAATTGCCAGACTTTAAGGACACACACACACATAGTGTCAAAGCATTTGGTCAGTCAACATACACACTATGTGTCAGCGCATCAGAGAGACAGTCTCTCCCCATTGTGCAAATTATGAAATCCGTGACACTTGAGGAAGGAGCAAAACTGATCTTGCTTCGCCCAGTTCATCTGGTTCCTAGCGTCATCTCTGTCATCAACACACATACCTTCTGATGGATGTCCCTTCATTTTAGCCCCAGGGCTGCAACCTAGTATCACCACAACATTCCAGTGAAGAGCCACCAATCTTCTGCATCAATACACCCTCCTTCTGGAAGGACACTTGTGCAGACTAACTGTACTTTTAGAACTTTAAATCTCAAGAAACTATGTAAGCATCTTTTCATTCAAATAAACTGGGTTAAATGTAAAAGTACTTGTATTCTGGGTCTCCTTCACCATCACCCACATGTGAATAGCCCCTAGACCATTCCTGGAGTGGAATTAACTGATTCAGTTAATTCCTGAAGCACTCCCCTTAGTCAGCAAACTCACATCAAGCTGTAATGGATATTGCAAACAATTTTTTTGACAGAAGAGTACCTAATGCTGATTTAAAGAATATCAAAACTATGAGAATCACTATAATAAAACAGTGATGTATGTTTATTGAGCACGTCCTATCATTGCATGTAGCATTTGTTGATATACCCGTTATGTATTGTCTGCATAAAAAGTAAAGTACAATATTATTATATTAATTAAACAACATTCTAAGGAGTTCTCAGCTAATAGTTACAGAAATTTGGATTCATTAATTATTGTGGCAAGCTATATTACTAAATTCTATGTCATTAATAAAATACACTCATTGACAAAAAAAGTTACACACCAAGAAGGAAGCATTTGAATCAAATGAAACTTTATTGCATTAGCATAAGACCTTGCTAATAAGTAATTACACTTATAATATCCTAGCAATAGAACAATTTCTTGTGGAACAACATTACAATTTAAAGGAACCTTTAATATGTTTTAGGACTTCCTCTTGCATAGGTACTGTACATATGGTGAAATGGTCAAGCACAAAGGCATACAGGCACTGTATGAGATCCTTTGACACTTTCTCATAAATGTTGCAACTGTCTTTCCTGATGTGTTCCTCATATCTGTATATGGCTGAAACTGGTATCTTGTATGATCTCACTAATGCTCAACAGACAATAAATCTGGAGACTGTGAAAGCCAAGGAGGTGAGACATGATGGAGATATTCCAGGAAAAATCTAGCTATGGGCAACCAAGCACTATCTTGTTAGAAAATGGCTATTTGCAGCCCTACCATGAAAGGCAACATATCAGGGTGATGATTTTTCTGAACTTATGCTGTGTCATCAAAATCCCTTGCATCACTGCTAGGGATGACTGATTGTCATAAAAGACAGCTTTCTAAACTAGAATGTCAGTAGTAGTATGCTGCTCAACAATAAACAAGAGATTAAAACATTCATCAATGGTTCGCCACACTAATATGGCACTTGTTTGTTCTCAAACAGAATTGGAATTCATCATTGAAGACAATATGCTCAGTCTGTAGCAGTTCATGTTTCTGTCAGTGAACCATTACAAATGAAGCTAACAACGTTGAGATGCTAATCAGGGCTGCTGCTAGCAATTGTGGGGCCTGGGTCAATCATGAAAAACAGGGCCTTCAAAAGTAGGTATTATATAATTTTTACCACGATTTTTTTCAAAAAAATTTTAAATAAAGATATTTCTTTTATCCATGCATATAAAAAATACAATAATAAAACTATATAGATTATATAATTAAAAACATTACAATGGTGTAAAAATTAAAAAAAGTATTAATTAAATGGAATTGTATCATAAAATTTATTCTTTGTGTTTTGCTTTCAGAAAAATTCTTATTATATCATTAAAATATGAAATATGTGAAAAATAATTTTTCACATATTTCATGTTCTGTTGATAATAGTTAGATTCGGAAGGAATCTGCAGTTTAGACAGCATATTTAAACATTGTAATAGAATTGCATTAGTTGTATCATTGCAGCATATGGTACAAAATATTTTAATTTTATCATATAAATCATCACCATTAAATCCCAATTATCACTGTTCCTTACTGCTAAATCTAATTCCATAATGATTCATAAGGTCATCCTTGTTCATCATCTTTAATATAGAAATACTGTGAAGAGAACTAAAAATGGCACTCCACTCTTCAATTTGCTTAAATCTTTCCTTTGTAAAGCTTGTTTCTCAATCTACTTACTAGTGGTAAAAAGTAGTTTCTATAGAAATTTGTTTTGGGAGTATCTGTACTTATATCCATTTTTTCATAATCAAATAAACATTTTCATTTTTTCCATCTGACTTCTTTGAATACAAGAGAAATGCTGCATTTTGTAAAACTTCATTTGCTATTAATTTTGATTTTACAAAACCATTTTCTATAAAATTTTTAAAGTAATTCGTCAATCTCTTTAATAGTGATGTTACTAAACTTACATCAATGTCAATTTTTTGCACACTTTAACTTAGATAAAAGAAATAATTGCTGATAACACAAATTCAAAATTACAATACTTTTGAAATTTTTTAAAATTGAATTTTAACACAACAAATATTTTTGAACCATTTCATCACAGCTATTAACATTATTATTGAGTACTTTTATAGTTACTGCTTTTAAATTTTTACATTTTCTGTGCTATAAAGACTTAAATATGGTAAGGAAAATTATTGCAATTCAATATATTTCCTATGGAAAATTACACCTAATTACTGTAAAAAGCTGGGATAGCATATAAAATCAAAAACTAAACTTCTTAAGGAATGGCCCCTTTAGGCATGGGACCCTGGACAAATGCCCCAGGTGTCTGGCTCTAACAGCTATACTGATGCTAATGGCAGGACAAGTAGCAGTTTCTATGTATGCAAATTTGCTAGTTACCTGCCAATGGTACAGGAAGAAACAGTGTTCTGTAGTGAGGCTTCTACCTGTCTTTGGATGGTTGGCAAAGATATATTAAGATGGTTGGATGGTTGCAGCTATTAATGTAATCTCACTATCAGACAATCTGACCTGATGTCTGTATGAGGCATCCAGGGACTGAATGCTATGTATGTGTTCTCTCACACAATCACTGCCCCAATGTCTGCTTTAGTAATATATGGACAGATCAGAACAGCCTAGATGGTGTCAATTCAGCAAAATGGCTATCCTGCTTCCCTCAGCCTGATAATGCAGCCTTTCTCAAACTCAGCTGTGTTTAATGTTGTTTACTGTGTTGTATAGATGTGCCTGGCATGTGAAAAACTCCAAACAACAGGAAATTTAACTGAAAATTCTGAAGACAGTGAATATCTGTGAGCCTTTTTATAAGATACTGGAGTAAAAATTTTAAGGCACTTTGGTGGCATTACCTGGCATGCAATTGGGTGCACAATTGTGATCATTTACATACATATCTGAACAACTGTTCAGAGTTTTGCATTAATTGGTCAATTCTATCTAGATTTATAACTTGTTGTCAATGAGTATAGATTCAAGTTAATTTTGATGCATCTATATAGTTTCATAATCACTGAAGAACTCATCTGCTATCTTGAGATCTTTAATTTGTGAAAGAGCAAGAATGGTAATCATTGAAAAGACATTAGTATAGAATATAAATATGGAAATAATTATTCAGCTTTAAGATATACAGAAATGTAATGAATAATGCAATTACAGTGCACTCTGTGCCGTTTCAGCGGTAATGATCAGGTTTTGGGCTATACATAACTTTATTTTTAATTTTTTGTTTGAGTTGTATAAAGAATTGGTAGCACTTTAGAGAGAGGGAAGGATTATTTAAGGAATTGCAGATTGACTGCCAGGGTCTTTTTCCTTTGTGTGTGTTCAGGTATTTTGAGGAATTGTATTGTGAAGCAAAAGCATTATATCTAGACAGACAGGTAATATCAGACTAGTATCAAAGCAATCGGTTTGCATCAGCAGAATTGTTAACCGGAGGATTGGAACATTTGTTGGGTTTCAATCAATTGTCAGTAAGGAACATTTACTGAGAATTATTTCTACGTGAGACTGAGAGGACTTTTATTATATAAAACTCATTGTACGAACAAGCCTGTATAATTCGTAAGTGACTGTTTATGTGTTCTGTGACAACTGTGTAAATTTTGTATATCTTGACATTCTAGTGTGTACATAAACTTAGTGTTAAATTGGTGTTCCTTTGTCTTCCTTCCCACATGATAATCTTTCACATTCACAATTATGTAAATACCGATAAGTACAAATGGTAACAAAAAGAGTAAAACAGTTATTTAATGGAACATTAAATAATTTTATTAAAAGTAAACAAATTATTTATTCGACTTACTTCTACTGTAAACCAAAACAGTGCTTATTTCAAAATATTTTCACAAACGTTTTCGAACTTAGTTCTTCTTCATGTGAATAAAATGGGTAGAATCGATGTTATTCGAAATCTGAACTCAATGTTCTAAGGAAACTCTGCAATCATCGTGTTAAACTTGTGCATGCTCTGTAGATAGAAGGATCGCTTTTGGCTTCTCAAGTGTCGTAAATAAGAGTTTGCCATGCTATCGATAAGGATAGTTCATCCTTATTGTTTATACACTTATCTTCTCTTGCTGTTTTATAGATATATATCGCTTCCATAGTAGTAATAGTAGGATAGCCATGAGGATCGAAAAAATGATGCATTCACGAAGAACAGATCTAACAGAACCACAAGGGCAACAAAGTAACACTCAGAAAGACAGAATCCTAATCACTTATATTCCGTACTTAGAGAAAACCTACAAAGAGATCGCCAAAAGAAAACATGCCTCCTTAATATTTAGAAGATGTTCCACTATATTTAGAATGCTAAATAATGCAAAAGACACTCCACACCAAAACAAATTAGCAGGAGTATACAGGATCCCTATAAAAGATCATAGGTGTGATAAAGACTTAGTATACGTGGTATCCACAAAAAGATCGTTGGAGGTGAGGATCAAAGAACACAAAGCAGACATCCTACATAAAAGATATACTACAGCATTAGCACAATATTCCACGGACCCTGACATACAAGCTGTATTTGACAAGGCAAAGATAATTACACCACACAGCTAATACACCATTTGCGCTGGATGGAAGCGATATACAGTATATCTATAAAACAGCAAGGGAAGATAAGTGTATAA